ATCAGCCCTACTCACATCATTGTGGGAAAATTTTACTACCAATCCTTCATCCTTTTAAAAGAAGTAGGCTGAATACATCTCGAAAATAGATATATTAAATAGTGGTTGAATATAATCCTAAATAAACAGGATGTAGAGAAAAGATTGGGATACATAGGAATAAGGGAAGATTTTTCCTAGAGAATCGTGGTATTTAATAAATCTCAGCGTGAGAGATATGGAGTACATACATATTAGTAAGTGTTTTGTATACATGCACAGATATGTGGGTTAAAAGTCAGGTTGGTGGGCATCTTGCAAAATGAATAGGGAGAAAAAGAGTCAGTGAGTAATAAATTAAATTGTTTTTTTATATTGGAAGGCGGCCATAGGAAAAGATTGCCAGTTGCATATACAAATTGGCACAATTTCGACGGATAGATGGAGAGAAAGACAAGTTTGCTAATAAGTGGATTTATATACGGCTTAGAGATAGGGTAGTGAATTAATAAGCAAATTTGATGGTGGTACATTGATGGAGGTTGAAAATATAAAAGCTAGCAGGATGGGTAGAAAGATAAGTTGGTAAATAGATTATTGTCTCCATAATAATATTAATAATAATAATAATGATAATAATAATAAAGGTTAGGAGAGTAAACGAGCAGTTGATTAAACTGCACACGAGATAGGTTAGTAGGTAGACAGGTAGAGGATTCGAATGGTGAAATCCATGATAAAATGGTAGATGGATGTGTAGAAAAATGGATTTATAGACGGACTAGAGATTTGGAGTATGTTATATAATTCCTTTTAAAATGAATGGAAGATCAATGTTTGACTGAGGGAATAAGTGATGTTTGAATTATTTGCCCGACAAAGCAAACACCGATTTGTGCAAAGTTACGAGGATGGATACGTAGGATATGAGAAGAAAAGTAAAGTTTCTAGGAATCTCTTGCTTCACAACAAAATTCAGGCTAACGAATCAAGAAAACTCACTTGCACCCTCTCTCTCCTTCAATCTATCAATCAGGCATAAGTGATTCCAAGAAAAGTTGGGTTTAGGGGAATCTCTTGTTTCACAATTGTGGAGCTCAATTCCATTTTGGGTGAAAGTGTTGGGTAAAGAGATTCTAAGTTTTCCGAGGCAATCTTACTCGATTCCGGTGAAAACGGGCCAAGTTTTCGTGCTTCATATGAGGAGCATCCTTGTCACATTCTTGGTACAGCCAAAATGAAGCTAAAGAGTCAAGAAAAAAAAAGTGTCCATGAAGCACTGAAACACTTTTCTAGAAGCTGTTGTTGAGACAATTTCCAACTTTTCAGGTGAGAATATGCTAACTTATCGTCTGTCACCACCAGAGTAGGGTATCATTCTTACAATTACAATCAAGTTAAAAAGTAGAAAAAAATTCCGGATGCATAAAAGACCAGAAGGATGAATGAATGAACTGACCACTAAAGTAAGTTAACTGAGTCTCTGCTGACTGGCTGGACCGGCTGTTTGATGGTTAAATGCCTCCAATGACTGTTCAAACTGTACATTATTGCATTGTTCTTAACAAATTTTATCTTCTGTATACCTTCCTCATAACGAGCTAGATTCATCCAACTTTTCCGTTCCCTAGGCAACAGAGGTTTGGACGGCCGTCGGGGAGCTACCGGTGACCACGGCAGCGTCATGGTGCAAGGAGAAAAGGGCATTGGAGGCCTGCCAGGCAGTTATGGCCGGCCAGGCGAGCCAGGACGCAAGGGCTATCCCGGACGGCCGGGCGAGAGCGGCGCCAAGGGCAGGGTTGGCTTCTTCGGCATGAAAGGCTTCAAAGGTGGGTACGTCCGAGGGACACGGTGGTTTACACGAAAACTTTATAGACCCTATCTACTTATTTTCATTATAAGTAGTACTTAAGGATATCCATTTTTCTTAAATAATAGCTAAGTAACCGCCGGTTCTTTTCTAAATTTACAGACTCTCCAAGATTACCTCTATGGAGAGTAAGTAAAGTAGTGTATTGAAATGGAAAGCATTTTTTTGCTCAATCGAGTTATAGACCCAATCTACTTATTTTCATTATAAGTAGTATTTGAGGATATCAATTTTTATTAAATAATAGTTGAGTAACCGCTGGTTCTTTTAGAAATTTACAGACTCTCCAAGACTACCTTTATTGAGAGTAAGTAAAGTAGTGTATTGAAA